TGTGCTCCTCTCCCAGTCCTTGCTGACCTTCCAGGTTGTCTTGGGCTAGAGATTTGTTTCTCTCTGCCTTTTTGTGGGTTCTGCTGCTCAAGAATTTGTGTAGAGCCATTTTTACAGGTATTTGGAGGGCTTTTGGGGAGAGCTCAAGCAAGTCACTGCTTTTACTCCACCATCTTGACTCTGACCCCTATATATCCCTGTTACAGTAACTTTCCTTATTCACAGCTTCTGATCTATCACTGCCCTGCTCAGAGACATTCAATAGTTCTCTATAAGATCTAGGATAAAATCAAGGTTCCTCACCCTGGTATTCCTAGCCCTTCATAATCTGGTTCTGACTTACCTAGCCAGTGTTATCTCATGTAAATCCTTTTCACATTCAGTCAATACACATTTATTAAGCATCTACCATGTTTTAGTCACTATGCTGAAAGCTGGGGATACAAATATGAAAAAAAAAAGAAAGATATTCTCTGCCCTCAAGGAGCTTACAATCTAATGGAGGCAGACAACATGCAAAAAAATGCTGATAAGCAGGAGGGAAGGGAGTATTGGAGGAGAGAGTAGGTTAAGTGTTGTCAGGTAAGAAATGAGATGTCTGAACTGAACTCTCTCCTTAAATGGAAGTTTGGTTTTCATGGCTCCACCTTCCAGAGAGGATGAGGGTACTGATGAGGTGGAATACCTAGACTGAGGAGATCTTACAGAATACTGAGGTTATCCCAGCAATGAGCTTCCTGGGGCATGGTGGAGAAGTCGATCAGAGAGGTCTCCAAGTGTGTCCTATGTTATAAAAGGAGGGATGGTGTAGTAGATGGAGGGTTAGCTTTGGAGTCAGTAATATGTAGATATTCATGTTCTTACACATTGAATGTATGACCATGAACAAGTCACTTAACCTCTCTTTATGCCCCAGGCCATTCTCCAAGATTAACATACAGAGAGTTTGCTGCTCCACATCAGTAGAGGGAGTTTTCAAAATGGTAGTTTCCCAGCAACCAGCCTGACAAAATTACAGCTGTGGACCAAAAAGTTATGGCCAAATCATATTATTTACTTTTGCTCACATTATTTTCTCCACCCAGAAAGCCCTGACCTCCTCCTCAATCCTTAGCTGTTGAAAACTTATCCATCCTTCAAGGCCCAGCTCAAATGCCTCCTCCTCTCTTGAAGCCTTTCCCTAATCTTCCCAACTGGAAATGATTTCTTTGTACTTTTTTAACATGCTTACTACATTGTATCATGTATTTTAATTATTTTTGATATGCCAAGGAGAGAATAAGCTACTTGAGGACAGAAGACCAAGTCTTATCTTTGAATCTCTCCCATCTGGTGCTTGACACAGAGTAGACACTTAACAAATGTTTTTGAATGAGTGAATTATAAATACAGTTTCTATCTAGCTGACAGAAATACATTAGCCCTCTTCACAGGATGATTGCTTACCTGCTGTATGGACAATATTTTAATCTTTGAATTTGCAGTTTTAGAGCCTCATTAGCAGTTCATGCACAAGGCTCTTAAGACCAAGTCAGCCATGATCAAATTATGTACACACACACACAAAAATCAAGCAAACATAATGTGACTTGCCCAAAGTGAGTCAGTGGAGCTGCTGGGAATGAGACCAGAATTGCTGACACCACGGCTCATATTTAACCACCAGACTAGACTGAATTGTGTTACCCCTTTTTTCTCGGGTCATTCATCTATTGCCAACGTTAGCTACATCTTATTGGCAAATTGTCAGTTGTTGCAAGTTTCTTGCTGAGAATGAAAAGGTAGTGAGTGGTAGAACAACATAAATCACTCAGCAGAAAAGAGAGAGGAGTTGATTCAGAAATCACCTTTCAGGTATAGGGCAGGAAATGCCAGGCCTTGGGAGTGATGTACAAATCTGGGGTCTGGAAGCTGCCAGGTACATGCTGAACTGAAAGCAATCCCAGGGGGCAGGGTGGTGGACACCATGTCTGTTAGTTCCAGTGGAAAATCCTGATGAGTGGCCTGGAATCGTGAAAATATGCCTGGCTGGCTTTAGGGAAGTCAGCCACCCTTCCTTTAGAGAAGGCTGCCTCAGGATGCATTCTTTAGAGAATCCCTTAGTCCATCTGACTTTTCCAGAGTCTTTCTGGTTTATGGACATGTGAACGGAATTGGGCAGAGTCTCATAGCCAATCTAGCCTCTAGGGGATTCTTCAAGCCTGTTGGTCAGAGTGGCTGACCTTGGATATTTCCAAACTGAAAGCAAGGCATCTGGATTTTTTCTAAGAGGAAAAAAGGTCAGTGAGTTTCCCATGAGGTCACAAGTCAAGAACTTCTAGGGTGGATTCATTAAGTTTGTCATGTCCACATCACCTCTGTTAGATGAGTGTTTGTTCCCTATCACCAGAGAATACTAAAAGAGGCTAAGGTTTATGGGAGGAAACAACTGTTCAACTAGCTGAAAAACCGAGCCAGATGGTCATGATTTCTGCCAAAATAAGGGTTGTTTCAGGGTTAATGCCTGTATTCATGGTGTGTATACACTTGTTTCCAGGGAGGACTCTTGTGTAGTCACCCTGTTAATTGTCTGGACTCTTCATTTTGAATTAGAAGGCCCTGGCAGATGGCCATTTTTTTTTTGGATTAGGAAAAGAGATTTTTAGGGCAATTCCTGAACTTTTATTTTCAAACAGTCTGGCTAACCAACAATCCCTACTGATTACCCTTGGTTTGGCTACATAAAAACAGGCTCTGGCATAGCTGTGAATCTGTACTGTTTCCGCTCAAGCTAAGCTGTTTGTAGCTATGATGGAATGAAAAGGTCTCTCCTGGGAAGAGATCTTGGTTTCAAGGAACTTATGACAATTGGAACATTGTAAATATAGAAAGGATTCAGCATCTCCAGGGAAGGTCCTCTTGTCTTTTTTGAAATTCAGGTTTCATGGAGTTAGGGGGCTTGTATGAGATTACAGTAAAAAGGTCATTTGACACAGGAATCAAGGGACAGTATTAAAATGTAGAGTGGTAGAATTATGATTGTAGGCAGGTAGGTGGTACAGTGAATAGAATGCTGGGCCTGGAGTAGGGAAGACTTGAGTTCATATCTGACCTCAGACACTTACTAGTTGTGTGACCCTGGGCAAGACCCTGTTTGCCTCAGTTTCCTCATCTGTAAAATGAGCTGGAGAAGGAAATGGCAAACCACTCCAATATCTCTGCCAAGAAAAACCCTAAAAAGGGTCATGAAAAGTCAGAAACAACTAACCAACAAAAGAATGCGATTGGGGGAGGGGCACAGGATGGACAAGTATGAAACTGACATGTTAAGAAGAACAGAGAATCAGCCTCAGACTCAGGAAGACCCAAGTTCAAGTTCTATGTCTGACACATATAGTGGCTACAAGACCACAGGCAAGTAATTTAAGCTCTCAATACTCAGGCAGCTTTTTAAGAATAAAAGTTGAAGAGTAGGTGCCAATATTGGTAGTTGGGGTTTCCTTACTAGGAGTTCCCAAACAAACAGAATAATAGTTTCAGTCAAAAAAACCTAAACCAAACCAAAATAATAGCTAAAATTTATGTTATGCCTATTGTGTGCCCAGGCACTGTTCCAAACCCAGTACAATTATTATCTCATTTGATTCTCACAACAACTTTGAGAGGTAGGTGCTATTATTATCCACATTTTACAGATGGAGAAACTAAGGCAAACAATGGTTAAGTGACTTGCCCAGATTAACATCAGCTAGTAAGTAGCTGAGGCTGGATTTGAACTCAGGTATTCTGGAGTCTGGGCAAATTATGTAACCATTCAATGTCCAGAGTCACATAGCCAATATATAACAAAGGCAACACTTGAACTCAGATCTTCCTGACTCCCAGTATGATTTGTTATATACTATGTCATACTGTTTCTCAGCATGTCACATTTTCTGTCGATAGAATGCTGGACCTGCACATAACAATGAGTTAAGGGAGAAACATGAAGCCTTTATTCTATTTTATATTTTCTAATTGTCATGTTCTGAGATGTGCCCAACCTGCTTTTCCAAAATAGAACCAAATACAACATTGAATTATTTTTCATTTCAATAATAATTCATTGCTCATATCATTTTATAAACAATTCTATTTCTTTTGCTAAGGAAAGTACAAAATGATAATAAATGCTTTGAGTAGAACAATTCAGTTTCACTTCCCAGAATATAAAAAAAGAATATGTTTGATGAATCAGAGCTCAGGAAAATAGAATAAAAATCTTATCCAATTCTACATAACAGGGATATTCTGTTCTTATGATTATGACTACATTGATCTATTAACCTATGTATGACAAGATTTTTTTTGGTTTTTTTTTTACACATTTTGGAATAATTTTTAAATCATTTAAAATTACTTGTTCAAAGTCTTTTTTCCTACAAAATGCAGTTCAATTAAGCCCATATTGTGCAAAATATGACACAGTGGGGCCCATAAGAACACATCAGCCTTCTCAAGATCTGAACCACCTATGCCTTGCATTTTCTTCTTTTGGTTTGATTTTTTTCTGTAAGCCCAGAACAGTAGAGTGAAGGCTTCTAGAGAAAGAATGATAATGAAAGAAGATATAAACAGCACATACTTGCCACAATAGATGTCTGAGTGATTTAACCTGTACTTCACAATCAAAATTGATTGATCTCGTGAAAAAAAATCAATAAGCCTAATGCAAGGTCAAAAGTAAATGAGAAGAGCAGCTACTCTATTTTTAGAGTATGACCTCAGTTTGATTTGCAACTGTGTTCCCATCTATAGGTCTGAGTTATTATAGGCACTGTTCTTCAAATTAAAAAATTTTAAATAATTAAAAATTTAAATAATAGATAAAATTTTAAAGTTAAAATTATTTTTATTTTTTTAAAAAAACTAGCATATAATGCCTTAAGATTTGCCAAGTTCTTTACATATGTTTCCTCATATTAGCCTTACAACAATCTTGTGACATAGTCACTATAGGTATTACTGTCTCTGTTTTACAGATGAAGAAACCAAAGCTTGGAGAATTTAAGACACTTGTCCATGGTAACCCAGCTACTAAGTGCCTAAGGTGAGATTTGAACCCAGGTCTTCCTCTTACCAATTCCAGTACTCTATTCAGTAAACATGCTGTTTCTGGTAATCATGGTTCTTCTTTATGTAGTGCATTAAGGTTAACATTTAAGGCTAACTGAAATTCAATAAGACTTTAAGGCTATATAATTATAAGACAATAACTGCAGGTGGCTTTATTAATATTCCTCTTTTAGAACTTTCATAATTGGAATCAAGATGTTATTCTGAACAGAAGGTTGACTTCTTACCTATACTTTAAAGTTCAATCCAGATGTCACCTCTTCTTTAAATTATTTCCTGGACCCCTCACCCCATACCTCACAGAGCACTTTGCTTTGAACATTTAAATGAACTTATCTATCATACAGTATTTAGCATCATAGTTAACAGTATTTTTGCCTTGTTCAATTTAACTCAAGAATACTTATTAAATGCCTGCTGTGTATTAGGCACTGGATACACAGAGACGAAAATAAAACGGTCCCTACCCTAGAGGTGCTTACATTCTATTGACCATGGTTGAGCAGAAGTCAGGATTTTATCCATACTTTGGAAAGCACCATGCTAACCCTCTTCCCTTTTATATCTTAAAGGCATTCATCAACTCTGAAATTATTGCAATTATTTTGGGAGTTTGCTCACTCCATTTATGTCAATGAGGAATAGTGGAAAGATCTCTGGTTGAACTAGGACAACTGGTTTCAGGCCTTGATTGTAACATAAGCTGGCTGTGTGACCTTGGACCAGTCACTTAACTTGTCTGGGTCCTTTGTAAAATGGAGAAGTAGAACTCTGTAAAATGAGGAAACATTTTCTAATACTATGCTCTGAAATTCTGAATCCAAGTATAAAGACAGGAAAAATACATATTTCCCATACATGAGAGAAGTTGTTTTGAAGGTATTATACACTTACAATACACTTAGTCTTACTGCTTTTATCCCTCTACTGTATGGTAAGCTCCATAAAGAAATGGTTTTTTAAACTTTCTAGCTCCCCAAGAGGCTTGCTTAGAGCTTTGTACACAGTAAAATGCTAACAAATGGCACACTGAATTGAATTGCAGAGACAACTCCTAATGTTCCAAGTCACAGACCCTAATTGTACTGAGAGAGCTATTGTGCAGATGGGTAGGTGTAAACACCAGCACTGTCCCTCTATCCTGGGAGTCAGCAAATACTGGCCGTTTCTAGGATGTCTCAAGGGACTGGAAGGATTAAAAAAATGGAGAAAAGAGAAAGGAGAGAAAAAGCACAAAAGAAAATATAGAGTAGTTGTATGCTCCTTAAAAATGGGAATTGTTTATTTTATTTTATTTTTTTTCGTATTTGTATCCCCAGTGCCTAAGCACAGTGCCTGGTACATTCTAAGGGCTTAATAAATGCTTGCTGACTGATTTGGCAAGATTGGTAAAGTACCAACCACCATTTCCTTAGGCACCATTCAGAATCACCTGAGCTAGACAGCCTGTCATTTCTGTACAGGAACACATATGGTATGTCTCTAACTTTTCTTTCATTGTTTGCTCTTCTCATGTTGGTACAGTGAGTGGATAAAATACTGGAGTTAGACTCAGGAAAACCAGAATTCAAATTCCACTTCAGATACTTTCTAGTTGTGTGACCCTGGGGAAGTCACTTAACCTCTCTGCCTCAGCTTCCATATTTTGAAAATGGGGAAATAATAGCATCTACCTCACAGAATTGTGTGAGAATATATATGCATATACACACTCATACACATGTGTGTATGTATATATGTATGGGCATATGTATATACACACATACATATGTACACATATACAGTGTTTTGCTAATGGTAAAGTATGTTATAAATGCTCATGTTATTATCCTCATCATCTTTCTCTTTTCCCAGCACCGAAGGCATTAAGGATATGAGTACACTAGGGTTACTCATAATACCTCCAAAATAGCACTTAAATTCATACCTAATAGAAATACTAGGGAAATAAATGCAACTATCAATCAATCAATTAAGTATTTATTGACCTCTTACTATAAACACTATGATACTATATTTACTATGGATTCTTACTTATAGACAGTATGTTAGGTGTTGGGGAAACAAATACAATGAATAGCCAATGCGAAGGCACAGACAGGAGATGGAATGTTTTGTGTGAGAAACCCAGAGAGAGTCAATCAGACTAGACTCAAGTGTGTAGGAGGAGTTGCAATGTCCAATGAGGATGGGAGGATAGGTTAAGGTCAGATTATAAAGGGTTTTAAAAGCTTAACAGAAGGAATTTTTTTTGGTCCTAGAGGACTGGAGATAATGGAGTAGGACAGCATCATGGTTAGTTCTGTGCTTAAAGAAAATCACTTTAGTAGTAGAGTGGATGACTGGGGAGAAATTTGAGGCAGGCAGACCCAGGAGGAAGCCATTGCAATAATCTAGGTGAAAAGGACAAGGGCCTGAAGTAAGATGGCAGCTCTATGAAAGAAAGAAGAAGTTAGATGCAAAAGATGATGAGGAGGTTAAAACAGCAAGATTTGGCAACTGATTGGACACATGGGGTGGCAGAGTAGAGAATTATGGGTAATGCCAAGATTATGAACTGGTGAGACTGAAAGAACAGCGGCTTTGACAGAAATATGGACATCTGGAAGAAGGGTGGTCTTTAGGGAAAAGACAATGAGTTCTCTTTTGGATATGTTAAGTTCAAAATGTCTCTAAGATACACAGTTTGAAATGCCATAGGGAGTTGGTGATGGGGAGTGGAGCTCAGTCAATTAGAGGCCTGGGGCTGGATATGTGTATATATACCTATATACATGCATATGCATACAATGTAATTATAAATATATACATGCATAAAATGTATGATGATAAATATACATAATAAATGATATACATACACACATAAAATGTAATGATAACTATACATATATGTATGTATGATATGTATGTTTGTGTGTATCCAGCCTCAATCTGAGCTTCAAATGAATACCTATATATGTTTTATACGTGTATATAATATACATGTACATTATAGTGTACTAGAATACAGTACAGTACAAATGTACATGTATGTGTATATAGAAATGTGTATATTCACACAAAAATAACACCCTTTACATCAATGTGGTATAATGAAAAGAACCTTGCTCTAAGGTAGGACACTTAATTTCAGGTCCTGGCTGAAACATTACCTAGTTCAATCCTTTAATCTCTTTGGGCCTAAAGTCACACACACTCATATATGAGAGTTAACATAATAATATACAATATGTCAATATGACCGATTAATATATCTATATATGATATTAATTATACTTTCTATGCCAAGACTCATCCATGTGTATGTATAAACTCACATATGAATGTTAATACTATTAAAATATACTAATTTGCTACATTAATAGAGAATATACTAATTATTTAATAAACTAATATGTAGCCTATATATTAATTATCAACTATGCTAGGACTCATTTATATGTATTATATGATATACATATACATTATACAGGCATTGTACAGATATATAAGGGCAGCTAGGTGGTGCAGTAGATAAAGCACTGGGCTTAGAATCAGGAAGATTCATCTTCTTGAATTCAAATCTGGCCTCAGACACTCACTAGCTGTGTGATCTGGGAAAGTCACTTAACCCTGTTTGCCTCAGTTTCCTGATCTGTAAAATGAGCTGGAGAAGGAAATGGCAAACCACTCCAGTATCTCTGTCAAAAAAAACCCAAATGAGGCCATGAAGAGTCAGTCACAACTGAAATTACTGAACAACAACAAAAATAGATATTTAAGTCCCTTAACCTTTTTAGGCCTTAACTTCCTCGTCTGTAAAATGAGGAGGTTAAATGGCATATTCCTTTCCAGACCTGAAATGCTCTGATTCTGTTTACCCAGTACTATACACTAAAATCTTCCATGTATCCTCCTGCCTTACTTAACTACCTCTGCTCTGTCTCCAGGCCCTGTGCTTTCTCTATATCGACTTTCTCATCAGCTCCCATGAATATATCATCTTGATGCCAGGATATACATAACATACATACATACATTCATACATACATGCATACAAATATGTGTATATGTATGCATGTAGATGCGTATTATATATCAAGCGTGCATATAATGTGTATATAGATGTATATAATATATATGGAAAACCAGGATGCATAGAAGATTTTAGAGCACAGTACTGTGTAAACAGAGAAACAGAACATTTCAGATCTGGAAGGGAACATGAAATCTAAGCTCCTCATCTTACAGATGAGATTAAGTTAAGGTCCACAGTGATTAAGTGACTGACTGATCTAAGGTCATATAGCTTGCTAATGTTCCAGCCAGGATCTGAAACCAGGTGTCCTGACTTAAATTAGGGTTATTCCTGTTATACCACATTGACATAAAGGGTGTTAGCAGAATTCCAAAATAACCACAGTGATTTCAATGTTCATGAATGCCTTTAAGATAGGGAAGGGAGGAGTGCTGGTGTGGTACCCTTCAAAGAATGTATCAACAGCCCAAGAAACTGCTTATCTTATGGAATCCATACTCTAGCCCTTTGCAGCAGACAATCCTGGCAGCATACAGTCTAAATAACTGTTTATTCATCGAGCTAGTCACGGGCAGATTTTCATATCAAGAGTTGAGAAGGCTTATTTCTATTGCTTGACTTTCCCTTATGCAACCTTGGCAAGTTCCCTTATTCAGCACCTGAGCTTTTAAAATTCAAAAGTCATTTAAGGTCTTCTTTACTCTTAATAGTCTGATGGTGTGTTAGACTTGGAGTCAGGAGGACTTGACCTTAAATCCAGCCTCTGAAACTGATTAGCTGGTTAACGATGGACAAGTCATGTCACCTCCCCACTCCTCAGTTTCCTCATCTGCAAAATGGGAATAATAATAATAGCACTTACCCCACAGGACTTTTCTGAGACTCAAATGAGGTAATGTCTGCAAAACACTGCAAACTTTAAAGCACTATGCGGAGCACCCCAAAGTCTTTAATAGCTTAAAACTGCACAAAGATTTTGGGGATATCATGTGTAATAACTAGTCTTTATGTAGGATTTTAAGGTTTACAAAATGCTTAATATCTATCTCTATAAAGGTATTTTTAGATATATATCTATATATCTATAAAGCACTGTATAAACCTTTAAACAGATATCTATATCTATAAAGCACTTTGAAAACCTTAAAACATCATTTATCCATCCATCTGTCTGTCTGTCTATCTATCTATCTATCTATCTATCTATCTATCTATCTAATCACACCCTTTGCAAACCTTTAAATATATATATATATACACATATAGTTCTGCAAGGGTCAGAATATACATTCATATATAGGCATATATATGTTTTAAGGTTGGCAAAGTACTTTTCAATCTATCTAGTCATACCTATAAAGGTCACTTTATAGATATATGGATATATCTATATATCATCTCTTTCTCTAGATCTGTAAAACATTTTGTAAACCTTAAAATACATACAAGTGTGTGTATTTTTTTCTGCAAGTGTCTGGATATACACACACACATATACATTTTAAGGTTAGTAAGGTGTTTTTCTATCTATCTATGTATTTATATCTCATTTGATCCTCACACCAATCCAGTGAGATAGCTAGTATTATTATTAACACAGTTTTACAGCTAAAGAAAGTGAGTTTGAGAGAGACTTACCCAGGGTCACACAGGTAGTAAGTGCCAGAGTCAGGATTTAAATTCAGGGCTTTCTGACTGTAAGTCTCACACTCTAGTTCCTATGCCACACAGCTGCCTCTATCTAAATGTCAGTTATTTACACTAGAAGTAAGAAACATCAGTATTTGGTCTGCCATGCCAAAAGAAGAAAGTAAAATAAAACAAAATAAAAAACCCAAGTTCATAAGAAAATGCAGTAGAATTTCCTTATTAATTAGCTGAACTCCCAAAGACTAAAGACTGTGTTTTGATCCCAAGTAGTTCTTAACAATAGTCACCTAATCCATAGTCTTGAATATTTTCCTTTGAGTTAATCTAATTTATATATATTTTTTTAAAAATTTACAAACTTCATAGAAAAAGCCTCCTTCACTCTGCATGTGGTATCAGGGTTTTATCCACTGCACGTGGAGCATTCAGCTAACATCTGCATAAGTATGCTCCCAGCTGTGGCCACTGGAGGAGACGGAATATATGTGGACGTAGGATAGAGTGTACGTATTTTGTGCCAAGATATGGAGAGTGTGCATAAAAATCTTAATCCTCTTCACTGACATGTATCATTTCACTACTAACTAAGCTTTATAATTTATATTATTTATTACATTCTTAAGAAGGAAGTGAAAATATTTTTTGACAGTTTCCAATTTCAGTTCCTGATCTGTATACAAATAGATGTATCTAAGGAAATGTTTTCCTTAGCTGTGTTCCTTTTGTCCAGCCTGCCCCCATCCAGTCTTTTCCACTGGTGCCTGATTAATCTCTCTAAAGTACTGATCTAATAGTCTCACTGCCCTGCTGGAAAATTTTTAATGGCTTCCTATTACCCATTCAGTCCAAACACCTTAATAAGGCACTTAAAACTTTTGATGTTTTGACTTCAAGATACATTTCTAACCTTGTTTCCTACTCATCTCCTATGCTAAACAGTACTATCTATTACTTCCTGAACACATCATGCACTTTCCTTCCTCTATACCTTTGCTCATGTCATAATCTCCTCCTTAAATGTCCTCCTTTTAATAATATTCTTCTCATTCTTTTAGATACTACTCCTTCCATGAAGCCATTCTTGATATCCTTAGCTGAAAGTGAATACTTGTAATGCTTTCAACCAGAGTACTGATGGTGAAAAATGCTACTTATTCCCTGACAGATGATGGACTCAAGATGCAGGAAGAGACATACTTTTTTGCATAAAGCCAATGTAGGAAGCCGTTTCGTATATTTGTTACAAGGGTTTTGTTTTTCTTTCTTTTTCTATGGAAGAGGTGGGAGTCACCGGGGCATCAAGCTGCCCTCTCTCTCCTCACCAATGAGACATATGAAGAAAATGAGAAAAGAACAAAAGGAAGGCCAGTAGGAATCACAGACAATTAAAGTTATACTTTCAAAGCTACAGGTTGAATTTATATTCTCTCTCACACACACACACACACACACACACACACATACACACACACACACAGAATGTAATCAGTTTATTGTTTAGTCATTTATCAGTCATGTCTGACTCTTGTGACCCCATTTGGGGTTTTCTTGGCAAAGATACTGGAATGGTTTGCCATTTCCTTCTCCAGCTCATTTTACAGATGAGGATACCGAGGCACACAGGGTTAAATGACTTGCCCAGGGTCACACAGCTAGTGAGTATCTGAGGCCAGGTTTGAACTCAGGAAAATGAGCCTTCTTTATTCCAGGCCTGCTCTATCCACGCCACCTAGCTAAGTCATACTTAAAAAGAAAAGGAAGCAGTCTCGTGTACAATGCTCACTTATTCTACAATGTATGTGGAAATTCTAACTTTATTTGGTGTTTGTTAAGTTTAGAAAAAAAGGAAAAAAATTAAATGGTTGTTTCTATTAAGTAGTTAGAAGCTCTAATTCTTCACCACAGATCTCCCATTTAGTTATGCAAGGGCCAGGGTGAGATCAGAAACAGCCTCCCTTCTGTGGCTAGAGACCTCCTGGGGAAGAAAGACTTCTTACTGAAACCTTTCCACCTACCTTTCCCACTTTTTTTCCTATGGACAATCAGTATTCATTGCCACCTGGCCCTCTAAATGTTGATTTATTCTTCTCACCCTTCTTCCTGCTCCTATAGCATAGTCCCTTCCTTTTCACATTTAAATTTTATTGTTACCTTGTTTTTACTCCACATCTGTTTCTCCTGAATCTCACTCTAATCCCACACTGACTTTGCCCTTGTAACAAAGAAAAGCATCTCATCAAAACCAACAGAAACAGTGACCGTGCTTGACATTTTATAGCAAATTTCACATTCATAATCCCTCACCTCCCTACTGATATGATAGAAAGAGGTAAAACTCATGTTCTAATATTGTTCAGTATCATTTGAAGCCTTTTCTCCCTAATTGCTAGTGTCTTCCTTCCCAAACTACCTTATATTTAGCCACTTTGTATTTATTCTATTTATACTTATGGTCTCTCTATACATCTATATGTACTTATCTTCTCCCCCCCTATTAGAATTCAAATTCTTTGTGAGTAGGGATTATTTCATTTTTTGTGCTTAGATCCCCAGTGCCTACCATAGTGCCTAGACACATAGTAGGGACTTAAATGCATGTTGACTGACTGATCTTTGGGATTCAAGGATTTATGCTTGACAGGAGAATGAGAGAGACACAGACAGAGATGGACACACACACACACACACACACACACACAGAATACGGATAAAAAGCACAATGAAAATATAACACTGAGACTTGGGCTAATTCCTCTTGCATTAGAGTACTTACTGATGCTATCCTCACAGTCCCACAAAATAAGTCTGTCCACAACTATTCTTCAGTCCAATTTTCCTACTCCTATTTACACTTTGTGGTTCAAAAAAATGTTTGTAACATTAATGAGCCAAATGTTGGATCTGAGATAAAAGTTTACTTCTCTCTGCATGATTGCTTCACACTCAAAATCCAATCCAATTACAACAATTCAGCAAATATTTATTAAGCATCAACTATGTGCAAGGTATTGTGCTAAATTCTGGAATTACAAAGACAAAAATTCCTGCCCTCAAGAAGCTTGCATTCTATGAGGAAGATGTGGCATATACACAGGTAAGAATAGCATAAATACCTAAATAGACAAGTGAGGGTGAAGGCACCTAGCTTTAAAAAAAAAAGAGTTAATCCATGACTTACCCAGTTCACTTTTGAGTGTGTGATCATGAGGAAGAATTGAATGTGAATTCCGTATATTTCCTCCCCCAACAAACCAGTTCACGTTGGGATTCCAGCGATTCAAAAAGCCACAGAGATGATTTTCTTCAAAGTCACACTCTATAAGGGGGGAGGGGGTTGAGGAGTGGAAAGAAACATATCAACATATCAACAAAGATGCAATCACATCCCAGTGCATCCATACTCAGAATCTAAAGGAAGGCTTGACCCCACACATTTGAATGGCTGGACTGCTCAGTTCTTTATCCCACTGAAATCATCATATCAGAACTGTCCATGCTAGATTTCCTAAAACTATGTAAGTTAGTAAGAAAGAACTAAAATGGATGAACCAGTCTGTAAAATCAGCAGTATAACATAGTAACTAGAGAATTAGTCTCTGAAACAGGGAGGTCTGAATTTAAAGCCAGCTTCTGAGTCAGGCTGGTTTGTGACCCTGGGGAAGACACCAAACCTCTCAGCTGTACCCAGCTAACTGCCTAGGGCTACGAGCTGAAAAGTAGCTCCTAACATGCATGGATGGAGGCCATTCCCAACATCAATGAAATCACATTATGGGTCTGGACTCCCAACCCCAGCCCCACATTCTTCTTAACTTCCTAGACAGAAATGTCGCATGGCTAGTAGGATTTGAACTCAAGTCCTCCTGACTCCAGGGCCAGCACTCTATTCACTGTGCCACTTAGCTGCCTCTGGGCCTCAGTTTCCTCAATTAGAGGGGTTTGGACTAACTGATCCCTACATTCCCTTCCAGTTCTAAATCTACAGTCTCATGATTCCTTTGAAAGTTGAGACAAAAATCTCATGAGAACCAGGGCATACACTTTTGAAAAACTCTTATCCCCTCCCACTGCCTCTGAGAGAGAGGAGAAGGAGAGGGGAAAAGGCCTTTGGGCTATCAAGGGAATTATAACTAGCTGTGGGAATATGCCCCAAATCAAGCACAGGGAAGTTGAAAACTCCTTAACTGTGAAGAAAAAGGAAAGTCATACTTCTAATTATTTTTTCCCTTTTAAATTCCAGCCAGCACCAGGAGTTCAACAATGAGAAATGGGACTTCAGAAATCTGGCTGAGTTTCCTACTATCCTGACATTGTTGATATTTGTGATGAAGAAGAAGGGGGCAGTGCAGAACTTAGGAGATACAGAGAAGGCTGGGCGATGTCTGTTGTCCTCAGCAGTTGAAACAAGAGGCTGAGCATGCAGGAAGCTTAGAAATTCTTATTTAACCTGTAGAGGCTAGGCAATGACTCTTATATTATGGGTGCCACATCAATTTTTCTCTTTCCATAATCTAGAACTCCAAGGACAATAGGGACAAGTCTTCTTTATGGTGAACATATACAGGAAAAAATAATTAAGTCAGACAAACTAAAGCTTCAAGGCATTTTGCAGAGATTTTCTACAGGTCAAATTCATAGAATGGAAAATGGAAAGGGAATTAGAGGCCTGATCTTCTGCACAATTTTACAGATGAGAAAACTGAGGCCCTGAGTGGTGAAGCAACTTGTTCAAGATCACACAGCTGGTTAGAGACAAGACTAGAACCCAGACCTCTTAACTTCTAATCGAGCATTTTCCCCTTGTTCCAGGCTGCCTCCCCATGCTAGTTCATCTCAAGAGTAAACAGCATCCGCTTAGTCCATTTCTCCTGGCAGTAGTAGATTTTTAGCAAACATTGAAACAGGGGAAATGCAAAACCACTTACCAATACAGTATCCAGTCATCATCTTAATTTCAAAGACTGCAATGCTGGCTGTAGTTCCTTCCCCCAGTATACCTTCTATTAATATCTGTATAGCACATGGAAAAGGAAGGGAATTGTGTATCTAAATTCATGTTTCTGTGATCACCCTTTCAATTCCTCCATATTCAGCCATAAGGTTCTCCATTAACTTAAGACAAAACAGCCCCATTAATCTCTATTTAGTTGCTGTTTGATGTATCATTACCCTCACTCTAAAAAATGCACATGGAAGAGTATTCGGTAAGGAAGGTAGTGTGTTTAAGTATGAAAACAAGCTGTTGCTAAAGTCACCTTCACTCTCATATTAAAAAAAGACAAATAGGTAGTATGTACTGAGCAAGGTCATTTGTTAAGTGTACAAAAGAACAACAACAACATATACTAAATAATAATAATAATAATAATAATAATAATAACAATAATAGCTAACACTTATATAACAAATGTGTCAGGCACTGTGCTAAGCGCTTTACAAATATTATCTCATTTGATCCCCACAATAACCCTGCAAGGTAGGTGCTATTGTTATTTCTATTTTACAGATGAGACAACTGAGGCAAATAGAGGTGAAGTAACTTGCCCAGGGTCACATACTTAATATGTGCTTGAGGTGATCTGAGGGTCTTCCTGAATCCAGATCCAGTGCTCTATCCGCTATACCACCTAGCTGCCCAAAATAAACTAGTTATTCATAGGATCGTGGATTTAGTGCTTGAAGGGACCTCAGAAGACATCTAATACAACTCCTTCATTTTACAGATGAGGAAACTGAGGCCCAGGAATGTTAGGTGACTTATCCAAGGTCACATAGATAGAAAATATTAGAGGTAGTATTTGAATCCAAGTCCTCTGACTCTAGAGGTACCCCGGTACCACTCAATTGCTAGCTACTTGTGGCAACTGTCCACTCTAGCCTAGGCCACAATTTAAATTTGATCTGTGAAGTTTGGATTCAGTCAAAGGGCCACACTTGAGGATCTAGAGGGCCACATGTGGCCTCAAGGCCACAGGTTCCCTACCCCTGGTTTAACCTGATTGGGCAGTGAAAGAAGACCTCACCTCACTATTGAAGGCTGTCATGAAACTGCTGCAGCAGTTATTTTTTTTAATTAAATAAATCTTTTATTAACACTGTTTTTTTAAAAATTTAATCCAAACCCTTTATTTTCTGTTTTATAAAGCTTGTAGACTTGAGTGTCTTGCCTAAAGTCATACAGGTTGTACGTTGCAGAGCTGAAATATAATAATAATAATAGCTTATATTTCTACAGCACTTCAACATTTCCAAAACACTTTACATACATCATCTCATTTAATTCTCACAAAAGCCCTGTGAGGTAGGTGCTGTTATTGTTCCCACTTTGAAGATGAGGAAACTGAGGCTCAGCCACATTAAGTGATTGCCCTAGGGACACATACTTTCTAAGTGACTGAGGCAGATTCTCTGACCCCAAATCCTGTGTTCTTTCTGATACCACAATGCCTGTCTATGAGCCGTGTCTGCTTATGAGTGTGCTATTTGCATGGTAACCTTGTGTCTGTGTGCATCATTCTTCTTAGGGTGGACCTGGGCACAATATGTACCTTAAAACACTCCAGTTACATAAGTTTTTACCATTTCAAATCTTTGCTTTCATATCAATCTCAGCAGACGCTACTAATGGCTAGTTGTCCTAGGCAACTCCACAGAGGGAATAGGTGAACGGTCACAGGATTCACATTCTGCATAGCTTTAGCCCAAGTTTAAACAAGTAGCCATTATCCCAGTCATCTCCCAGTACATCCTCATGGTGTGAAGGTGACCCTGGGACCTTCCAGGCTATGGCAGCAAGGCCCCAGAACGCTGGAAAGACTTCAAGCCCAGGCCTGGTGAGGAAGATGCATTGTCTGAAGATCAGCTGAACTAGGTGTGGAGAAACTTATCACCAAAAAGGTAGCCACCAGGAAAAAAATGTTTTGGAGGGCCATAGCCATTGATGAACATCGATAAATTCAGGCCATGAAATCACAGATCTGTGGCAGTATAGAAGATCCTCTTCATATTCAGGCTCAGACTGGCTTCCAGTAGCTACCAGGGCCCCAGGAACCCTTTACAGTGTCAAAAGAGGAGCTTCTCCTTACTACAGTATCCCATATACTTTAGTGTTTCCTTATGTCATTTCAGAGATAAGAAATGGGATGCAGAGAGTCAAACAAAGGTGATTATTCACTGGTTCCTTGCTTCTTCAGATGAAAAAATGGCCAATCCCGTTTGTCCAGAGATACTGTTATTAATAGTCCTCTCACTCCAATCTCCATTTCTACCCTCCACTCCCCTATTAATACTGTTTTTAAACATAGGCATAATTTCCCAATGACTTTCTACCCATCAACCTCTGACAATAGAGTAGTCTCTTACAACAATTAGTCTCCACTAAGCAAAACAAATCAATACATTGGTCAGGTCTAATGATATTTCATTCTTCATATATCTGTAGTCTATCGCTGACACCATTGTGATAATGGAGATACATTTTACCAAGATCTCAATGAGGTCATGTTTGACTAATGCATTAATTAAAGTTTTTTTTTAGTACTGTTTTCTTTTACATTAGTGTGTGTACATGTGTGTGTGTGTGTGTGTGTGTGTGTGTGTTTTAGTCATTTTCAGTTGTGCCTGACTCTTTGTGACTCATTTTGGGGTTTTCTCGGCAAAGACACTGTAGTGGTTTGCCATTTCCTTCTCCAGATCATTTTACAGATGAGGAAACCAAGGAAAACAGGGTTAAGTGACTTTGAGGCCAGATTTCAACTCAGAAAAACAATTCTTCCTGACTTCAGGCCTGGCACTCTATCCACTGTGCTATCTAACTGCCCAAAAGGGATTGTGCATAACACATTATTGTGATCATTGTATAAGCTGTTCTGCATCTGCTTACTTCATTCCACATCAGTTCATATACATCTTTCCAAGTTTTGCTGAGTTCTTCATTTTTGTAGTTTCTTTTATAGGATAATAGTGTTCTATTACTTTCACATGTCACAGTTGGTTTGGTCAGTCCCAAATGGGTGGCTACTCATTTTGTTCCAGTTTCCTGCAATAACAAAAAGTTCTGCTACCAATATTTTTGTATTTATGAGATTTGTTGTTCTGTCTTTGATTTCTTGTGGTATCTCTGGGTCAATGGAGTATATATAGTTTAATGACTTTCCTTGTATAATACCAAATTGTTTTCCAGCTCCACCAACAGTGTATTAGTGTGCTTGTCTTCCCATGGCCCTTCCCACATATATAATTTTTATCTTTTCTCATCTTTGATTATCTGACGGGCATTAGGCAAAAGCTCAGAGTTGCTTTACTTTGATTTTCTCTTATTATTCTTGACATAGAAATAGGCGATTGATTTCAGTTTCTCAGTGTTTTCTACTAATTCTTTAGAGCCACAAAGGAAGGTGGAGGAAAAAGGGGAAGGAGACAAACAAAATATGCATCCATGAAGACTCACTGTGTCCTTAATCCAGCCTTCTCACACTAACATTATTTCCAACAAGTATATGCTTTTCCCAGGAGCTATATCAATCTGTTTGTTAGTGCCAGGGATAGGTCAGGCTAGATTACGCATAACTAGAAAGAACCATTTGGGCAGCATCTAAGAGTAAACAACAAGAGAAACTTGAGGCAAATGAAAATTTCAAGGGTTTATCGTTAACAGGCAGGAGTGTATTGGTAAATATTTAACAAGTAGCTCTCTGGGGGGAAAATGTATGCTAGACACACTTTTATGTTTAATTTGCATTGTTAACATTTTCGCCATCACTTTCTTAAATCCAGACAATCACCAAAACAAATCAAGCTCTGTTTGTCGTTTCCAAGGTATGAATGTTCACACTAAAAACCTAAAAATCTGTGGAGCTGGCTCCAGAATATCTCAGGCAATGAGCAGAATTTTAGAAAGACAGGTGAATGGCATGAGGTAGGCCCATTGGTAGTTGATAGTGGTAGGTGATAAATGTCTAGATAGTCTAGTAGCAGACAAGAGGCAAAAGGTCAGACATGATAGCATCAGGAGCTCTGTCAATAAATGTTAGGGACTGAGGTCCAAGAAGACTTCAGATCCTGCTTCCAAGTGGGCTGAGATATAAGACATGGTAGCAAGGTTGAGATTCAGGAACCCAAAAGCAAGACAGGAGCTCAATTACAGAACTGGAGTTCTAAAGGAGGGTTTAATAACAACAGACAAAGGAGGCCATTTACTTGAACTAATCTACAGGTCAAAGTGGCACCAATAGCAAGGTTGATTGGAGTCAATCTTTGGGCCTAATTGGTCCCAAAGCATGGAAAAAGGCTAAGGAAGGGTTAAGTGAGCCCACATCTGGGGTTTAAAATACTAGGGAGAAGGAAGAAGAATGGCTAGAAGGGGCATCCTTTGTCTCACTAATTCCCTTCTTTTTCTTGGGAGAAAGTGTAAGTATCTGAAAGGGACATATACTCTAGAATTTGAACACATACTACAGGTGTGATTCTTCTCAAAATACTTGCATTTATCTTTTTAAAAAAAAACAATTTTATGCTTCATCCCAAATCTGTAGCAAGTAATTATATAAAAGACATATACATATATATTAGCCAAATAAAATCAAATTATAAGAAAATGAGAATGCTTCCTAAAGCCCATTTAGAAAGGCATTCCTGCTTGCAAAGTTCAACTTAAAACAATTTATAAGCTGCTAATATTTGAGAATCCTACTAAATAGGTGGAGAAGTAGTCTAACAAAATCTAATTTAGGGATAGGTGAACACAATATCATTTTTTATTATTAATCTTTCTTTATGATGTTTCAGCCCCCTAAACAAGTATAAATTCCCAATATGTCAAAACACCCATTATGCCAGAAGTTTTAACCCAGGTCCCAGGAATACATGAAACATGCATAAAGAAATTTGCACCCCATTGCCATATTCTGCCTACCTTGAATTTCTTGGTGCTATTTCGCAAATCTAGACTGGCTATGAGCCAACTATCAGAAGACTCCTTGGTTGACCACAGCAACCGATCAAAGTTTTCTCCTTCAAACCTGATGAAGAGATTTAGCCGGCTGGGGATGGATAGAAATGGTGAAGATGTGGTGATCTGATAAACTAGCCGAAGGCAGCTCCACTCCTCTGCCTGTAGGTCAGGACTCAGCAGGACTGCTTTCTCCCCCTGCTTGGCAAAGGTAGAGTCCACATAAATATAATGACCTAGAAATTAAAAAAATGGAAGGACCCAAATTAATATGTGCAATATGAGAAGTGTAACACATTTAAATAGTAAAATGTTAGCTAGCATTTATATAACACTTAATGTATATTATCTGATATGATCCTCACAACAACCCAGGAAGGTAAATGCTATTATGATTCCCATTTTACAGAAAGGAAAACTGAGGCAGACAAAGGTTAAGTCACATAGCTAGTAAAGATGTGAAGCAGTATTTGAACTCAGGTCTTCCTGACAGCTAGGTGGTGCAGTGGATAGAGCACTGGGCTTGGAATCAGGAAAACTAGTCTTTATGAGTTCAAATCCAGCCTCAGATGCTTACTAGCTATGTGACCCAGGGCAAGTCACTCACTTAACCCTGATTGCTTCAGTTCCTCATCTATAAAATGACCTGGAGAAGGAAATGACAAAGCACTCCATTATCTTTGCCAAGAAAACCCCAAATGGGGTGACAAAGAGTTGGACATGGCTGAAACGACCAAATAGCTTTCTGACTCCAGGAGTAGCATTAGTAGAATTAGATTGGAATTATCCCGCTGTACTTCTCCAGTTTGGTTCCAGGATGGATGAGACAATGACCTAGGTTCCAAGGGTGCAGGGCATCTAAACTGTCCCTGACCAACACTTGTGGATAGCATGGAGGGCTTCGTCATGGTCTACAGAAATTTATGCATACTTTACAATAATATTCAAGGATCTCTGCGGGCATATGAATGTTACACATCCCAGATTAGCAGCAGGGATTTGATGAAGTGATCTTAGCCTTCTTATGTTTTAATTCCTCTGGTCAGGCAATGAAGACAGTTGTATCTAACCTACTGTATGGTGTCATCATAAGATTGAATTGGTTTAACTAAATCCACTTATTCTGAATGTCCTAAGGACTGTGTGGGATATGAAAGTTGACCACAGAACCTTCAGCATGGGACTCCACCTTGGAGATCATCCACTCCAACAACTGTACTGATGTGGAAAATGAAGCCCAGAGCCCAGATTCACCCAGAGTCACACAGCAAGTGAGTGAAAGGCAGAAGTAGAACCCAGCCTCCTGATTATAAGGTGTTTTTTGTTTTTTTTAGGCAATTGGGGTTAAGTGACTTGCCCAGGGTCACACAGCTAGTGTCAAGTGTTTGATCTGAGGCTGGATTTGAACTCAGGTCCTCCTGACTTCAGGGCCGGTGCTCTATCCACTGCACCACCTAGCTGTCCCGGTTCTTTTTTTTTTAAGTACAATTTGTTTCTTCTTCCCCTAAGCCCTACTTGCCTGGGCTTTCCTTTACTAAATGTAGTGATTTTGGGGAGTCTGAACCACTTACTACAAGAGGCAATAACACTGTGGAAAGAGAGCTAGCTTTGGAGTCAAAAAGACTCGGTTCAATTCAAATTCAGACTCTGACATATACTGGCAGCATGACCCTGGGCAATTCATTTAACCTCAGTGCCCCAGGCAGTGAGTTATAGAGAAGATGCTGCCCTGCCCTGCTAGAGAGAGTTTCCTCAGGGCAACTACCCTAGACCAATGAAATCTCAGGCCTAGTGCAGAAAATACCTGCCCACAGACACTTGCTACCTTGACTTTACAAAGACACACTCAGAAAACTAAAGGTGCTCAAAAGAAAGACAGATTAATAAGGAGGAAGTAGAAAAGAGACTAATTATATGGGAAGTGGAGGCGTCAGGCAGAAATGGAGCAGCCAGCAAAGCATTATCCTTCTTCTGGTACAGAAGTATTAACTTTTTTTTTAAATTTGATTTTTTTTAATGTCACAGACTCTATCTAAAGAAGCCTATGGTCTACTCAGAAGATGCTTGTTGCCTACATTCATAATGGAAGGAAATGCTAAATTCTGTTAGAGATTAGTAAATATGAAGATGTAATTTTTTTTTGCCATCCAGTTTCAAAGATGCCCCAAAGCATATCCACAGACCCCTTTGGGGAGCCATGACCCCCAAGGCTGTACACTTGGTAAATGTTTAACATCTCCTCCCCAATATACATTTAACACACATATAAGTTTAGTCTACATTATTATAATTTTTCTCCATCATTTTCTTAAGTCTAGACAATCAAGAAAACGAAATCAAAACCTGACTTGTAAGTTTGCTGATTTCCAAAATTTAAATGTTGACACTGAAAATTTAATTATCAGCTCCCTGACCCTATATGAAATGGTTCTGGCACACTACTGTGTTAAGAAATTCTTTTCTCATTATTATCCTTTCTTCTCAATCACTATAGTGTTTAGGAGTACAGACTGCTGACTAACTGGGAACTATACCTATAACGGATGGATACAGGTTCATTAGAACATAGAGTGGTATGGTAAAGGGCAGGGAGGAGAAAGGAGAGATTCAGAAGAATCTAGAAGATGTTCTTTAGGAAAGGAGTCAAATTAGAATGTATGCTCCTTGAGGGTAGGGGTTATTTTGGACTTTCTTTGTAATCTCATCACTTAGCACTGTGCCTGACACAGTGTAAACATTTAATTAATGCTTGTTGACTGAATGACAAGAAATGACTATGATATTTCTGACTGTATTGCAAGGTTTAAAAAAGTTATTAAGTATGAGGTTGTTTAACTCATGGATTCTATCTGCTTGGAACTCTCCTTGCTTTCTAATGAAGTATTAAAACATTTTCCTCACATGTTATTTCTCTTGAAATCTAGTTTTATTTCACACTGGTGGCATTGTTCTCATAATATCAAGTACCCTCAGCAGTACACACTATGTGAAAATGCTTATGCCATTTAAAGTACTTTGATAAAGAATTACACCATGGGATTTTAATTCTATTTACTTAAGAGCTATTATTACACCTGTATCATAAATTATTGCTATTAAAATAATCTGAATACAATTCACTTACATGCCTGAGATTTTTAAAAATGCATCCTTTGCAACAGCACGGAAGTGTTTATTAGAGACAGTATATCTGTCCAACCAACTTGTACCTCTTGAACAGAAATGACGGTCTTCCTTAGCTATTTTTAGCTGCACACTAGACCAATTGGTAACCCACTCAGTAAGATTATGGAATGACTGAATATAGGAAATAGTACAACATTTTCAATAATCATGACCACTCACTGCTACAAAAAGCTACCTTTTCAATGCCAGTATTCTCCCAATGATGCCTTGTGGCTGTGAATTGTGGAATATCAGAATCTCAGAAGAATCATGACTGCAGGTGACCCAAAAAGGGCTCAATGGAAAGCTATCTGGGGGCTATTAGTGGATTGCAACATAGTGCGGCAACAATAACTTCCATGCGAGAAATGGCATAAAAAGCATCATCAGGGTCATTTTTGACTGCATGGAGGAAGACCAGTTATACAGCAAGGGTGAGGGAAGGATAACATATGGACAACCTAGGAGTTACCCTGATACCCATAAAGTGTTGAGAGAGCTAGTGTATTAGGTGGTTCTGCTATGGAGGGCTTAGGGCAAAACATGAGTAAGAATAAGAAAGGAGGAGAGGACTGTGACTGGGCTTTGGTCTTCACCGGTATAGGGAAAAGCCACATCTATAAGACCAATGATGTAAAACTCAATAGGGGCCATTAGATCATACAATATACATGCTGTAGATTGATTTAGTTTTAAGATGTAATATTATCTATGTTTTATTATATTTTTATTTATTCTGTTAAATATTTTCGAATTACATTTTAATCTGGTTGGGGCTGTGTTTGGGCGTGTTGTGGGCTGTATGTCGCCTATGGGCAATGTGTTTGACACTTCTGTACAAGTGTATGGAGTCACTGAAGACAGAACAGAATATGATAGTTCCCTCAAAAACAGTAGGATTTCTAGAATGTTAGTAGCTTTGCTCATCTATAAAAGACAAAGCGTATTTCACAGCTATCATAGATGAGTTGTAGCATAGTGGCAAGAGCATGTTTGACTTGGAATGAGGAAGACCTGAATTGGAATCCTGCCTGCCTCAGACACTTACTAGTTCTGTGACCCTGGGCAAGTTACTTAACCTCTGTCTGCCTCAGTTTCCTTATTGCTGCAGTGAGAATAATAAGAGTACCTACCTTTCAGGATTGTTGTGAGGATAAAGATGCTATTTTTATAAAAAATTCTGTAAATGTTGAAGTGCTATGTAAATGTTAGCTATTAATATGGTGATGATTATGACTGATGTGGTAAAGGTGATCTCCAACCCTGGTTTATACATAGATATGTGTGTGTATGCACGCACATATATGTACATATACATATATATATATGTATATGTACATATACATATATATATATATATACACACACACACACACACACACACGCACATGCACACATATAGTCATCTCTTCATTTCATATAAACAGCTTCCATTGCTGGCTTGTTTTTAAATTAGTGATTCTTTTTTAAAAAATTAAAAAATTTTTTTTTCTTCCATATGCTTTTGAGTTGAAAATTTTTCTCCCTTTTCCTCCTGCCCACCCTCCCCAAGACCGCACACGATCTGACATAGGCTTTACATTTACATACCCATTAAACATATTTTCACATTAGTGAAGTTGTAAGTAAAAATCAAAACCAATAGGAGGAACCATCAGAAAGATGAAACAAAACTCGACAGAAGGTAAAAATAAGTGATAGTGATTCGACTTCCATAGTTCTTTCTTTGGATGTGGACAGCCTTTTCCATCCCAAGGCCTCTGGAGATGGCTTAGATCCTTGTAATGCTGAGAAGGGTTCAGTTTAACATTCTTAGTCATTGTATAACATGGCTGTTATTGTGTACAAAGTCCTTGGTTCTGCTCTCTTCACTCTACATCAGACCATATAAGTCTTTCCAGGTTTTTCTGAAGTCAGCCTGTTCATCATTTCTTATAGCACAATAGTATTCCATTACATTCATATATCACAACTTGCTCAGCCATTCCCCAATTGATGAGCATCCTCTCAATTTCCAATTCTTTGCCACCACAAAAAGAGCTGCTATGAATATTTTTGTACATGTGAGTTA